TCTATTCACGAGTCCGAATACCATCTATACACGTGACTATATAGAATTCACGTCGAAGTTTAACATATTTTCAATTACGTTTCAGACTGTGATGACAGCAATGGATATTTCTATTAAAGATATAATTCAGAGGGGAATATGCAAGGGAAACGGCTGTAATGGGAGAGTATGACGCAGATGGGATATACTATCAAGAAGCTGTTCAGCAAATCCAGAGATTTCATGTTGATATCTCAGATCCTGCAAGGAAATTAAAATGGCAAAAATTTCAGCAACAGATAGCTGAGGAGTATGAACAAATGAAGACCATAGTCAGTACACTTCTATTGTTGAAGTTTGAGATTCAAAATGACAGGCCACTAGGTCCAGAAATTTACAAACTCTCATTTGAGAAGCCTACAAAGGATCCTGATAATGGCCCTTCTGGGGACCCTGATGTCTGGCCACCTCCAGTACCACTTATACGCAAACCAGTACCCAAGATCAACACTCTGCAAAGTACAGAGGCACGTAAGGATGATGTACCTCAGAGAAGAGCCAGCAAGAACTACGAGAAATGCAGATTAGTGAAGAAAGAGTACAGGAAGGGAGGAAGTGAGGAAAAAGAGGAGAAGAGGTTCGAAGTGTCAGGGCGTGACCGTGGTCTGATAGAAATGTTGGAGAGGGATATGGTCGAGAAGAAACCTAACATCCATTGGGATGATATAGCAGACTTACAGGATGCCAAGAAGTCACTTATGGAGGCTGTTGTCCTTCCAGTGTGGTTGCCAGATTACTTCAAGGGCATTCGATGGCCGTGGAAAGGAGTGATGATGGTTGGTCCGCCAGGAACAGGGAAGACCATGTTAGCCAAGGCTGTGGCCACAGAATGTTGCACAAGATTTTTCAATATTTCTTCTTCCACGCTCACTTCCAAGTACCGGGGTGAGTCAGGGCAACTAGTCAGACTGCTTTTCGAGATGGCCCGTTTCTATGCCCCCAGTACGATATTTATAGATGAGATTGACTCTCTCTGCTCCAAAAAGGGATCAACGTTCGAACATGAAGCATCAAAAAGAATGCAGTCGGAGCTTCTAACTCAGATGGATGGAGTTCCTTCCAACAGTGATGATCATGGTAAGATAGTCATGGTTTTAGCAGCAACAAGTATTCCGTGGAACATTGATACAGCATTTCGGAGAAGATTTGAGAAACGGATATATATTCCTCTTCCAAATATGGGCGCAAGGGAGGCGCTGTTAAGAATT